ACTGAAATGTGAACTCCCTCATATAACAAAACCCTACCTCAACCCCCTCCCTGCCACAGAGGCTCCTGCTCTTCTCTAAAGGTGTGAGTCATGTATTGACTTCCCAGTGACTGTTCCTTGAAGATTTGGTGGTTTTGTGACAGCTCTTTGAACAGTTCTCTCTCCCTGCTGAGGAGTTTGATGCCAAACAAGCTGCCAGCCCGGCTGCATTTCAAGAGTATCAAATAATCTGTATCGTTCCAGTTCCTTTGGGCTGGGACTCTGCTTTATCAGGGAAATATCCTCAATTGTGGAATTGGAGTTTTCACATGGGGAGAGTACTGACTTCTCTAACTCAGTCTTCAGTGTTACTACCATTCGTTTCCTGTCTGCAGAATATATGAGGTTCACAAGTAAAATTCATTGCAGCTCATAAATTGTATATGCAGGGTATAGAAGGATATGCCAGAGCCCAGCAGTGACATAAAAAACGTACATAGCAGTGAAAAAACCCTACTATGTGCCTTTGAGGTTTATTTTGTTTCTTCTCCAGTTAATTCCTCTCCTTTGCCTGCCCCAAGCTGAGGTTAAACTGTATTTCCCCTTGTGTGATGGGGGGTCCTGCTTGTTGGATCATCGTGGGACCACAGCAGCTCCCTGGCAGGGTCTTTCTGAGGGGTCAGAAATCCTCCACACTTGAAGACTTCTTGTTTTTATTGTTTAGATTAAAATTCTAGTTGCCATCTGTACTTAACCTGATCTTTTCCCATGCTTCCCAATAAACCTTTGTTAAAATCCTAATTTGAGGATGTTTTCTGTGCTGATGAGCAGCAAGAAAGGTCCTCAAATCCCTGCCAGTGGAGGATGAGCTGTGCCGAGCCATGCAATGCCAAAGGCTTTGTCTGTTGTTCCCATAACTTTAATAAACATCCAGGAGGCAGCTCCTGGCAGCTGCTAATTTTAAAGTAACATATTAATCAAATTAATTGAGAGTTCCTTTTAATAATCAGCAGCAACAACATAACTTTGTGATGTTTTCAGTGTTGCTAAAAGTAATTCCCCCCCTTCCCAAAGAGGATCTCTGCAGATAAATCAGCTGAAAAAGTGTTAAAGTGTCTCTTTTGCTACCTGATAATCCAATTAAGCGGTGATAAGAAAAATAGCTCCTGGAGAATTTCAGGGAAGCAGAATAATGTACTTAGTGTTGTACCAGAATCCAAATACCACATAATCGTGGGTATCCATGGATACTGAAGCAACACTTTGATTACCAGATACATCCATTACCCTTAAATACCAGCGCTGGGGGTTTAATGCCCCGACCAATTTAGCGCGTGACTGCTCCAGCCTGGAGAACCCTCCTGGGGATCTGCTCCGGAGCAGCACAGGAGCTGGCAGGGGGGGAAGGAAGGCAGCCAGGATATTTTTGAGACTCTCTTCCCCGTTCCTGTGTGCTGTCAGCTGCCACCCAGCTGGCTCTGCCGGGAGCTGGAGCGTCCTGGGATGTGGCCTGACCCCTGTGCCACATCTGTGACTTAGGAGCGGGATTCCCAGGAAAAACCATCACATGATAATGCTGTAGAGTGCTTGTGCTGTTGGGAGTCACTCCACAGTGGGTGGATGGCCTTGATGTCCCAACCTTTGATCAGAGCAAGATGAGCATGTTGGTCATCTCACAGCACAGGATCTGGCGTGAGGCTGGAGACACAAAGTCATGGAATCATAAAATCCTATAATGGTTTACTTGGAAGGGGCCTTAAAGCCCATCCAGACCCACCCCCTGCCATGGGCAGGGACACCTCCCACGGGCAGGGACACCTCCCACTAGCCCAGGTTGCTCCAAACCCATCCAACCTGGCCTTGGACACTTCCAGGGCTGGGGCAACCACAGCTTCTCTGGGTGTGTCAGAGCAGCCCTGGTTTGGTCTCAGGTGGTTTTGGCTCGACTCCCACCCTTTGCCACAGCACTTGGTGCCAGTGAGAGCATTTGTCACTCCTCCAGTCCGTCAGGGTAATGGATCACTGCAGGAATTCAAGGCAAAGGCCTGAATTTGCAACTTTCACGTTGCTACCACTTAATTGCCTGAGAGGTTTTTCCCTGGTGAGTGCAGTGCATTAACCTGACAGGTTAAATAACTGTGCACACGTTTCCTGGCGGAACAGGAATGCGGGACGAGAATATGGAAGCTGAATTTATTCTATCTGTGCCATGTGGACAATCTCCCCTCAGTTCCCTGGGCACCTCTGCTTGCTGAGAGTGGTAAATGCCAGGGGGCCCTGCCTGGCACGGGCTCCTCCAGAGGGATGGGAGCACTGTTATCCCAGCTCCGGGGTTGGGTGTGAACAGCAGCTCATGGGCTGCTGCAGGACCTTTGTGCTCTCGTGTCAGAGCTGCCTGGGGTGGATTTGAGCTAAACAAGCTGGAAAATAACACACTTTGTCCCCTTTAGGTGGCTTTGGGGCTGTATTTGTTCCTCAGGCCTCTATTTGCACTTTGGGCTGCATTCCCAGTCCTCTCACCTTTTCTGACTGAAGGTGATGGGAGGTGATGAAGGACTGCAAAGGACCTTCACAGCAGCTTCAGATGTGTCTAAATAATGGCTCCATCCAGCACAGAGGAGCCCTTTGGTCCCAGTGCCATAAAATACATCTGCTCCTGCTCTGCTCTGTCACAGTGGGAGCCTCTCAAAAGGACACTGTGCAGGGAAGGAATAAATTTCCAGGTGACAAATCCTGGAGCTCTGTAGCACTCTGGGGGTTGGGTTGGTTTTTTCCTTTCTTTTCTGAAATGAATTCTCCAAAGTTACCACGTCCTTGTTTTACAAGAGAAATCGGAGTCTCTCGGGGGAGGTTTGGAGTAGCTTGGCTTGGAGTGATGGAGTGCCAGGGAGGGCACAGGGACTTCCCAGGAGCAGATAATAACTTGAAATTCTCCTTAGGCTTGATGCCAGGGCAGAGAGATGTTCCCCCAGCAGAGCCACGTGGATGGCTTCCCTGACTGCTGTGCCTGGGTGGTGCCCTGGCCCTGCCATGGAGCAGGATGCTCAGAGCCAGGGCTGGCTGGGGGAGCTGTGCTTTTAACCAGCTGCAATCTCTGCCAACTGGGTCATTCCAGGAAAGCTGGATAGCACTGCTCACGGGTTTGAGTTCATTCTGCCTAATTTTGACTGGGGAAAAAAAGAGAGCATTTTAAACTCTTTAGATTTTTGAACTCACTAGCAGCAAGGCTTTGTCTCTCCCTTTAAAAATGAAGTTTCTTTTTAAAAACCTGTATTGTTTTCTTTGAAAACAAACAAACAAGCAACAAAAACACCAGGTTGCAAAAATTTCAGGTTGTGATAATTGTGAAACAAAACAAAAGATTTTGTGTGAGTCAGAGGAAAACTGGGGGGTTATTATTCTCTTTTATTCTTTCCCTGCCTTTCCTTTTCGCTGTTTTATTTCTTCCCACCAAACCAGTCCTTCTTCCCCCGGAGCTTTTGGAGCAGCCAGTACAGCAGAGCTGCTTTGCCTTCAGGCAGCCCCTGCATCTCATCTTCTCTGCGTCTCAAACAAGGGAAGAGGAGCCTGCCCTGCTCTGGGAGGTGCTCAGGGACCTGCACAGGAGGCAGATTTCACCATTTTAAGGGCTGAGTTTGGTTTTCACGGCTGTTCCAGGGGTTCCTCCAGGTGTTGCCGTGGCTGCTGTGCCCGGGGTCGAGGATGGTGCTGCACTGGCAGATGGTGGGTGCTGGGGATGAGCCTCCTCCTCCCCCTGTAGGATCCCTCCATACAAACACCTTCTCCACTGCCTCGTTTAGCAGTACTTTTAGATCTGTATTTTAAAGCATATCTGTGAATCTCTCCTTTGTCCTGCTGCCTTTTAATTAACTCATCCCCACTGCTGTTTCTTATTAAGCAGCTCTGATATGTTATTAATTAACACATTGTGCAGTAGAGTGGGGAGGTTGGTATCTGAGATGCCATAAAAGATGAAAGTGTTTACCACCGAGAAACAAAATAATTAAGGCAAAAGTTGAGTTTTCATCTGCCAGCAACAAGCAGAATATCACTGGAGATGGGATGGTTTTTTTCTTTTATTTTTCCTAAAACAACCTAAATAACTGTACTCTGGGAACTGTGCTGTCAGGGAGCCTTTCTCTGCCCTGCCTGTGGGTGTCCCTGTTCCATGCTCACACTCTTGTGCCACGTTTCCTGTGTGTTTATGAGAAGTCCCATTCACAGACGTACTTTATCTTGAGGCTTCAATATTTGGGTCTCTCCAGCCCAGTTGGTGATGGGCATTGGAACAAATAAGGGTTTTCTTGATCTTTATCCTTGATTTTCATTTTTATCCTTTTTTGGTTGGTTGGTTGGGGTTTTTTGCCTGTTTGGTTTTTTTGGGTTTTTTGGGGTTTTTTTGCTTTACCAGTACTTCAACTTCTTGGCTGTTCCTATTCCAGATAAGTCATTCCAGTGGAAACATTTTCCCTCAATAGCCTTCAACTTGTAAAATCAAGAAGAATTTCAGCCCTTTGCTGAGATAAAATTTGTGTAATACACCTCCAGCATCACTTGCCTTTCAGCTTGTTGTTTTGGGGTTTTTTTTAGTCAGTTTAAGCTTATTCAGGTTGCCGTTTGGATTGGTTTATTTTTTTTAATTCCTCTATTTTCAGTCCTTCCACTGACCATATATTTGCTTATTTTGCTTTTCTACAGTGTTGGGTTTTCCCACCTGCTTAAACCACAACCCTACCCAGCCATGCAGACTGTGTGTATTGGAGCTCTCTGTGCAAAAAAATAATGGTATGGAATAATGGTGTGAATATGAAATAATGGTATTAACATGAAATAATGGTGTGAAACCCTCAGGAAGTGGCACATGAAGTGCCCACAAGGGCAGTGATCCCATCAGAGAACTTGTCTTCCCCCCAGACTCCCCTTCCAGTGTGTGCAGCTCCCACTGCCATCCCTGTGCTCACCACTGATGTTCCATTTTCCTCCTGTGACAGTCCTTCTGCTCTCCCCTGTCTCTGGCTCAGGTGGGCTCTGCATTGCCCAGTCCCTGAAGATCCCCCAGGACCGCAAGGACAAGACCATCGACTTCGACAAGATCATCCGGCAGCTGCTGGAGACGCCCAACGCCAGGGCCATCGTCATCTTCGCCAACGATGAGGACATCAGGTAAGGGCAGCTGAGGGAATCCATGGGGCTGGGCAGCTCTGCAGCAAAAGAACGGGAGGAGTGAAGTGGGAATGTCTGTCGGTAAGAGTGATGGGGGGGGCAGTTTGGGATGGGGGGGAAGCACCAGGCACGAGGGTGCTCTGCCCTGGCTCAGGGAGTGCCCAGACCATACTGGGGGCACAGGAATGGTGACCAGGACCTGGGAGCTTTTCCTGGCATAGGGTTACCCGTGCATTGGATGGCAGAGCTGACCTTACCCCTCAAAGAGGCACTAAGAGCACGCCCCTCTCTCCAAGCTCATTCTGTCATGTATAATTAATTATTTCAGACTCTATTATACGGCAAATGAAGGTTAATAGTGATAAAGTGACTTGGATGCTCAAGGTTAAATCACATAGAACTGGCTCATAAAATAATACAAAGAATATTTTATATTTCATTTCTCACTTGCCCGTGCTCCACATTCTCACTGCAGAATTTTAAATCAGCTTAAAATCGTGATGGAATCATCAGTTGCTGAGGGGCTCAGTCCTACAGTGAGACAAAAAGAATTCAGGATGAAGTTTCAGTAGAGTCAGTGGCAAAACTCTAAGTTTTGGTGGAATCAATGTGTCAGTCATGGAATACAGGAGGAATTTAAAGAGAAGTCCTGTTGGTGCTGCTAAGGATAGTTTGGGTTGGGAGGGACCTTTAATGATCATCTTGTTCCAACCCCCTGACACCTTCCACTAGACCTGGGTGCAGGAATGTGCTGTTTCTGCTCATGACAGAGTAGATTAGGTTGGAAAAGCCCTCTGAGATGACTGAGTCCCCCCGTCCTGCCCCTGGCACAGGCCCTTTCCTGCAGCAGTTCCGTGTTTAAACCCCACGACCGTGTGAACACGCCCTTCTCTCCCACAGGCAGATCCTGGCGGCCGCCAAGAGGGCGGATCAAGTGGGACATTTCCTGTGGGTGGGCTCGGACACCTGGGGCTCCAAGGTGGGCCCGCTGCTGCAGCAGGAGGACGTCGCCGAGGGGGCCATCACCATCCTGCCCAAGAGAGCCACCATCGAGGGTAAGAGCTCCCCTCCCTCCCCTCCTGCTCCCCACATGCTGCCAGGGCACAACTGGTCACCTGAGATTTTTCCCGTAAGTGTTTTGGGATAAAGGTGCCCGGACACGGGGTGATACAGACCGGGAAGCACATGGAGTAAGTGCTGAATTTTCCCCAAATCTCCCTGTTCCCCACATGGACACCCGGCGTCATTCCCACAGGAGCTGCTGCCAGCAGTGGGTTATTGGAGCACGATCCCAGAGCCCACCCTGAGCTGTGGGGATGTTACAGGGCTTCCATCACCCAAAGGAAAGAAAACCCAAATGATCTGAATGTGTTGTGTGGATACAGGGGGGCAGAAAGTCTGTTGCAACCTTTGTCTCAGCTCTGAAGCAGCAGAGAAGTTCTCCACTGAAGGAGTAAAACTTCCTTTTCAGATCAGTGGTTTCCACTGAAACTTAGCTTAACTTTTACTTCCTGCAGATCAAGCACTACATTTATACATGCTGATTGTGTGCTTGAAAAATATACACACCTATACATATGCACATGTATATAAAACTTATGGGAAACTTTGACATAATCCCTTTGTTTCCCAACATTCCTTTGTGTTCTGAAGAGTTTGTTGTCTGATCTCTCCTCAATTTGTTAATCCTTTTGTGTGCAGGGATGCTTAACTATCCACGTGGCTTCCTCTGGGCACCAAACTGGTTGATTAGAGTCTGTGTTCTCTATAATGTGGAAAGAAAAGTTGTTTACAAGGTTCTTTCCTTTGAGTAAAGAAAACAAACTCTTCAGCTGGCACATGGTGTGTGGGGCAGGGTCTCCAAAGAGTCCTTGAACACATTGCCTACATTAAAATAGGTTCTGGTGTCTTCACTCCCTGGAAAACCAAATATTTGCATTTTCCTGTGCCTGCACTCCCTCCTCATCAGTTATTCTTCTCAGGTGTATCATGTGCTTCCTTCTTCTACATTTTTCAGCCCCCGAGGTGTTCTCAAATGTTGTTTCTCCGTAAATACCTAAAGTTGATAGACAATGAAGTGGTTTGTTTCTGAAAACTAGGGTATTTTAATAAGCTTTTCATACTGGCTGTATTCATCCCTATGGGTTCCTGACACAGAAAAGAAAACTCTGCCAACAGTAAACAGAACCCAAAACTTTCCAGGTTTGCTTGTTTTAAAATATTTTACTTCTGTCTTACACACTGAACCCATGAGGGTTTTTTTTGGACCCAGTAAGTGAGGAGAGTGGAGTGGAAGGGTCCAGGTATAGAAAGTCAGTTAAATAACAATTGTAAATATCAGTGTATCTGGTGTATCTGCAAAAAATATGTTTATTGAGCCCACAAATATCTTCTTATTCAGTGACTGTGTTGAAGGATTGCCTGAAGGTTGGCTGGTTGCATTCTGCACTTGTAGCCACGCAGGTTGGATGATTAATTGTGATGCTTAAATCACATTTTGCCTATCACTGTCTCTAACTGTGCTCATCCTTTAGGAGCAGATCCATGTTTCCAGGTCCCTGTGTTGCAGGGACTCCCTGGCAGAGCAGGGCAGTGGGGCAGGGCAGGGGCTGTCCCGGGTGGGCAGGAGGCAGAGCCAGATATCCCTGTCCAGAGCAGAGGCTCCCTGGCTGCTCTCTGACTGCTCAGAGAGCTTCAGGCTAGTTCTTACCTCCCTCGGTCCTGTTCATACAGCCCCAAATGCCACCTGGATCTGCCTCCTGCTCCTGCTGTTACAGGGAGGGTAAAGGGATGCACATCCCCTTTCTCCTGGAGCAGTTTTCCAGGACTCCACATTCCCAGCCCAATTCCATTTCGGTTTCATTCACCAAGAGAAACATCCACAGCTCTGTTACCTACAGAAATGAGGAATCCTTGGGCATTAGTGTTCCCATGCTCAGGGAGGCTCTTATCCCTCTGGATTGCTGCCTTCCTTGAATTTAGGCTGCTGGATGTTGTTTTGTTTTCCTTTCTGTTGTTCCAATTTCATTTGGCCAAGAGTCCAGGAGAAGGAAATTGGGCATTTTTATTCTTTTATCATCCAGCAATGAACATCTGCTTCCTAAAACTCAGTAATGCATTTCTTTTGGTGACGGCATAAAATAAAAAGGCTGCCTTGATTTTCCCTATAAATTGATGGGAACAAAGTAAATGAGCAGAATGGAGCCCAGTGCCTGGAGCAGATCCCAGCCCAGCAGGCTCCACCTGAGCAGCAGCCCTGGGGCTCACAGGCTCCAGGTCAAGGCAACAGTTAAGCATCAGCTTAATTCCCATTGGATTTGGTGAGAATTCTGTGTTAGTCATGAATGAGGGGGTTGCCCTGATTTTACTCCTCAAGAGCATGTTTTCTTTTTTTTCCCTTTCCTTTTATCACTGTCTTAGGTAGTATTTGAAATATGCTGGGAAAAGATTCCTAGGAAGCCTCCCTGGAAGCAGAGGCCCTGCAGCTCCTGCACCTCGACCTGTGTGTGTGACTGTGCCCCTGCTCCCAGTTCAGGGAATGAGCCAGGAAACCCCAGAGGAGCTGGTGTGGGAAGTGACCTGTGGAGACCATCCAGTCCAACCCCCCTGCCCAGGCAGGGTCACCTGGAGCAGGTGACACAGGGACATGTCCAGATGGGTTTGGGATGTCTCCAGAGCAGGAGATTGCACACCTGCCTTGGGCAGCTGTTCCAGGCTCTGGCATCCTGAGATAGAGAGGTTCCTGAGGTGGAACTCCCTGTGTGATAGTTCATGGCCATTGCTCCTCACCCTGTCCCTGGGCACCCCTGTACAGAGAGTGGGACCACCCTGACACCCCCTGGAGATGTTTGTGTGGATGGATGGGATCCCCTCTCAGCCTTCTCTTCTCCAGACCAACCAGGCCCAGCTCCTGCAGTCTCTGCTCATCAGAGAGATGCTCCAGACCTCAGATCATCCTTGTGGCCTCCACTGGACCCTCTCCAGTAGCTCTTGGTCTTTCTTGAACTGTGGACACCATAGTTTTCTGCATGTCTTCCAGCTGGCACTCCTGTTTTCCTAACAGTGGGAATATCCCAGCAGCCTCTGGCTCCAGAGGGAGCCCAAAGCCCTCAGTTTCTTGTAGGATCAGACCCCAGATCTGCAGTTATTTGTCTTGATACTTGATGTCACTCTGGGGACAGAATTTTCTTTGCCATGATCCCACGGGGGGGATTTAGGAAATCATTACATGAACTGAATTCATTCATCTTAAGTCAGTCTTAATATAGCCTGATTGTGTGTGATGTAATTATGCTGGAAGGATAAAGTTGCATTTTATTTGCATAATTGCAGTAGACAGGGAGCCAGAGGAGCTGCACATTAAAGAGCTGGAAAGTTGGGAACGTGCTCCATAGCCTGTTTAACCAGGTACCAGGGAAGCTGAAAGGTTTTAGATGTTTTCAGGGGGAAAAAAGCAGAGTGTGTTTATTGTTAGAACAATTATGGAAGCAGGATACTGTACTCTGGTTCTTGCTGCTTTGAACTCTTGCAAAAGAGGGTCGTGGTGGTGTGTCCTCACGTGGAGAGAAGAGCACTGAAACATCAGCCCCGTCCTGAGACTTAGAAATCGTTTTCCTCTTAAACTCAACTGGGAGGAAAGCAACTACTGTCTACTCACTTCTTCCTTTCTGTTGTTCCTACACCTCTTTTCTGTGCAAAATTTATCAAATTGGGCTGTTACCCTGTGGTTCATGTTGTTACTGTTCATCTACTGACTGAACACTTCCAGAAATCTGGTTTTTCTCCAATCATTTTATTTTGAAATAGTCTTGCTTGTCTTTCTTACGTGGCTGTGCTCTGTCTTCATGGACACACCAGCTCCCAGGGAAATGAAACCAAGGAGAGGAGCAGCTGTAAGAAAAATACAGAGGTTAATATACATATATGTGTGTGTGTTTGTGTGTGTGTGATGTTTATTTAGAAAGTTGGAAAAATGCTTTGCTGATGCGGAAAAAAATATTATTTACAGGCTGAGCTCAGAACTGATGCAATTAAACAGTGAGATTCAAGTAGGTTTAAGATGGATGACTCCATTCCAACAGGCTGGGGATGTGGCCCAGGCTGCAGTTTGTGGAGCTCTGGGCTTGAAAGTTAAGGGATGGCTCCAATCCAGCCCAGGGACATGCCCAGCTATTCAAAAAAACAGGAATGCTGCAAACCAACCTAACGTGAATTTTTCAGTTGTTTGTCTTCCAAAGGAATCCTGGTTTTATGTTTTGGTTTTATTTCTAACAAGAACCAGTTTGCTTCTTTTTTGTTTGGGTGGGATGAACTGGGAAAAAAGCCATGGAAGGGTAGTGATTTAAGGACAATGATATCTCACTGTTTAGTGGCTCTGAAATGTTTTCCCCTCTCATCCCAGCGCAGCAAAGGAAAGGAGCTCGGGGCTTGTTGTGCTCTGTTAGAGACAGTTTGGATTTAATCCAGTGTTAATGAACAGGGGCACACTGCTCTGCATCTCCCCAGGGCTGCCTTCACCAGGATGCTGCTCTGGGAGTGATGTGCTTCCTGCAACACCTCCCACCCCCTCCCTCAGTGGAACACAGGGCTGGCTCATATCGCTCAGGAATATTGGGAAAATAGTCCATTTTGGATTTCTTTGGTTTGTTTACAGCCTGGTTCGGCATCTCTTCCAGTTCTCTGTTGTTCTCCAGCTTTTTCTGTGTCCCCAGGGCACGAGCATGTGGTTTGGAGAGAGTCAGTGGGCTGGAAAGATGTGGCTCCAGGGCTTTGATGCATTCCAGGCTGTGGGGCTGCAGCCTCGCTGAGCAGAGCCCAGGAACACCAGGAGCCTGGGGGGACACCAGTCCTGAGGGAAAGGGCTCGGACCATCGCTCCCAAATTTACCCATTCCTGCCATAACCTGTCCTGAATGTTCCTCTCATCTCCTCAGCACCCCCCACCTCTCCCATTGTCCTCCCTGCCCTGCTGAGGGGCTCCAGCACTGGGGGTTTGTCCTTCCTCAGTCCTCCAGGCTGGTTGGGAGCAGTGGGACCAGCTCAGGGGTCTCCCCTGT